TCCGGGGTAACTCGGGTCCGGGGTAACTCGGGCTTGGATTCCCGAAAAAGAAACCCGAGTTATCCCTGACCCGAGTTACCCCTGATGATTCGGGGCTCTGATTCACCCTGGTCGCCCGCCACGCGCGCCGGCGCCCCCGACGCGCCAGGCCGCAGCAACGGCCCCGCGTCCCTGCAGACGACGGACAGCCGGCGCCCCTGCGGCCAGGCGCTGCCGCGCCAGCGGAGCGTGCGCGTGGGGCCGGCGCCGGCGGGCCCGAGGGTGGGAGTTGCCGGGCCCCAGGTGATGCGCCTGCGTCCTCGAGGCCTCCTCCTCCTCCTCCTCCTCCTCCTCCTCCTCCTCCTCCCTCCCCTCCTCCCTCCTCCTCCTCCTCCTTCCTCCTCCTCCTCCTCCTCCTCCCTCCTCCTCCTCCTCCTCCTCCTCCTCCTCCTCCTCCTCCTCCTCCTCCTCCTCCTCCTCCCCCTCCCCCTCCTCTTGTTCCTCCTTCTCCTGCCCAAGAGGGGGAGCAGGGGGACTTTTCGATGATTTATTTTGGACGTGCTGGCCCAGACCCACTTTGCGTCGGATCCACGTGGGATGTGCGTCGGGTTCACGTCGGATGTGCGTCAGGCTCACATGGAATGCACGTCGGACATGCGTCGGAGCATCGCCGCGCGAACGTCGACCCATGTCTGAACGAGCGGACGTGTGGATTCTTGATTATACAACTATTGTGCACCGCGCGAGGCCAGCAGGATTTAATCATAGCCCAGGGTGGTGGTTGTGGTCGTCGTCGTCGCAACTCGGTATGGCTGAGGTCAGCGAATTCGGCACGGGGCCGGATCGAGTGTCAAAGCACAGATTGGCGGCGCGCACAAGGGGGTGGAGGGAGGGGGGAGGGCTTCTTAGAAGGAGACTGCTTCCTAGAAGGCGCCGGCCTTACATCTTACGTGTAGACGAGGCCCGCGCCTTCTAAGGAGCAGGGGTGCTTCTAAGAAACCTTCCCCCCTCCCTCCACCCCCCCTCTGCGCGTGGCTGAACATACACACCGACTTTCGGAGGTCCGCGCGGATGTCCTGCGTCGGCGCTGGACCCCCCTCTGGCGGCGCACCCGGTGCCGCCCCTGGCGCGCCACGCGCGCCAGGGAGGGGGGGCCGGCTGCCGAACCGAGGGACCCGCGCGGCCCTCCCAACGAGAGCGCCAGGGCGCGCGCTAGGCAGTGCTGTCCGTGCTCGCTCCGCTCTCGTGTGCCCTCGCTCCGTCTTCGTTCCGCCGCTGCTGCAGGACAAGATCAGAGCGAAATCGCCCCACGAGATTGCCACCCACAGCGGGCTCGCGTCGTGACGGCGTCGGCGTTGGCTACCGGCACAGCGCGGGATCGTTCAGCCTCGTGCGGGGAAGCTTTCCGATACAGCGTGCGTCGCTCGATGTCGGCGGCTTCCCGGCCACTGAAGTTGGCGGACGAACTGCGGTACGCAGTAGACTTTTCCACCGTCGGGGACGCCTGCCCCAGCGCAGCTGGAGAAAGCGTACCCCTACCATGGCACGACGGGATATGAACTCGCCAGCCGCCCCGGCACAAGGGCCCCCGACGGTGGACAAAAAAATGTGATTACGCTCTTCGTCCGGCAACTCCGATTTTTTTTCGTTGCATGGGCCCCGGAGGTCTGGACACCTTTGAAGGGGCCCTGGGACACACAAATAAATACACACAAATAACGGGATTCCCCATATTTTCCAATGTTTTCTGGGTTTGTGTCTCCCCCCCCACTTCCCACATTTTCCCATATCTCCCAGGGGATCGACGACGATTTGTGTCTGTGTGTGTGTGTTGTCCCCTCCTGACACTTCCCCACGGCCGGCCCGTCGTCTCCCAACTCGTTGTCCGCAGGCCCCGCGAGGCCGGGCGAGGCCCCCTCGGAGGTCATCGCTCGGCCGTCCACTCGCTGTGCTTTTGTTCGGTTTCGCGCGTGGCTTCTTCGCCAAACGATCAGGGGTGCTCCTCGATGGCCCTCGCCGAAGGAATGTCAAGCTCCTCGATGCTCCTCGATGCTCCTCGATGTCTGCTCAAGGATGCTCCTCGATGCTCCTCGAGGGTCCTCGAGGGTCCTCGCCGAAGGAGAAAAATGTACACGCCCGAGCGAGGCCAAGCGGCCCGGAGGCCGCGCCTCGGCCCACTTAAGCGCACGCTCCAGCTCCTGCGGGCGCGTCGGAGCTCCAGGAGCCTGTGGGAAAAACACACAAAAACACACACACACACAAAGCACACACACAGTGTTTGTTCCCACTTTTTTTAACATGTTTTTGTGCGAACTAGAAGACGAGAAAACGCCATAAAGCAAGGGCTCCCAACTATTCGCGCTCTCGCGCGGCGCGGCGCGGAGCGCGAATGACTCTTCGCGCTCTCGCGCGCCGCCTCCCATGGGGAGACGAGGAGAATGAGGAGGAATCGGAGCCGAGCCGCGAAGCGCGAATAACTTCGCGCCCTCGAGGGCGCCCTGGCTCCAAGAACCTGGAACTAGAAGACGAAAAAACGCCGTAAACATGAACTCTTGGCGCTCCGCGCGGATTTCTTGGATCTGCGCTGGACCTCCCTCCCTGGCGCGCGGAGCGCGCCGGGGGCGGCGCCAGAGGCGCCGCCGCAGGGGGCCCAGCGCAGATCCAAGAAATCCGCGCGGACCTCCGAAAGTCAGTGTGTATGTTCAGCCACGCGCAGAGGGGGGTGGAGGGAGGGGGGAAGGTTTCTGAGAAACACCCCTGCTTCTTTGAAGGCGCGGAGCGCCAAACAATTTTGCCTTTGGGTGTATTACACGAAAGACCGCATAACTTTATTTGACGGGAAGAGTGGTCGAGCGAAAAGTGACGCGCCCAGGGCGATCCGTGCAGGAGAACGGAGCAAAAGGACGCGAATCGACGCCCAGGGCCCAACATACGAGCCCACACAGGAGCCCGCACCAGACATCCCGCGCAAGGCATCCAGTATAGCCCTGTCTGCTCAACAGTAACACCTGGGAGTCGACGACTACTTGCGTCTGTGTCGTCCCCCTCTTCAACTAGGAGCTCAAGCTTTTTGAAACCACATAAGCGCGTTATGTGGCTGGGTGGATGGGTGGGTCCGCTGGCACATAATATAACACGTTGCGTGCGCACTACGAACAGCACACCTGCGCGCCAAAAAACAGGCGCTGCTGCAACAGGGGTGGGTGAAGCGGAGGGCGTCATGTTATCTACTGGGTGGGTGGATGGGTGGCTTGGAGGCCACATAACTCGCGTTATGTGCTCGAGTAAATTTCGGGGGCGGCCAAGAGGGGGGCGTCCAAGAGGGGGGGGGCACAAATTGTGGCCGGTGGCATGTGCGCGGCCCAAGGGGTGGCCAGGGATGTAATGAAATAAGAAAACGCGCCATCACATCTGAGGAAATATCATGGCCCACGCCTCAAGATCCACCCCCCCCTAGTCCTCACCCACCTCTGGGCCGACCCGCGCGCATCGGCCTCCCAGGACGCCCTACGAGATGCCAGGAGGCGGTGGATCTACTAACTACGATAAGGAAACAGAACGCAAATGCGTCAACAGAAACTTCTGGCGCTCCACACGGACTCCTTGATCTGCGCTGGGCCCCCCGCGCGGAGCGCCCACAGTTTCCGTGTCTTCGGGAGCGGCCAAGAGGGGGGTGTCCAAGATCTCGGGGGGGGTGCAAATCATGACCGGCGGCATGTGCGCGGCCCAGCGGGGGGGGCCAGGGACGTAACGAAAGAAGAAGAGGCGCCATGAAATCTGGGGAGATTTCATGGCCCGCGCCATGAAATCCACCCCCCCCTAGTCATCACCCCCCTCTTTTCCGCCCCCGATGTCTGGCGCTTCTTCCTCGATGCGAGGAGCCGGAGCGGCACGGGCGTTGGTGCAACACCGGCGCAGCCGGCAAGCAGCTGGGACCGAGGCCGGAGGAGGAGGAGGAGGAGGAGGAGGAGGAGGAGGAGAAGGGGGAGGAGAGGAGGGGGAGGAGGAGGAGGAGGAGGAGGAGGAGGAGGAGGAGGCGGGGGAGGAGGAGGGAGGAGAAGGGAGGAGGAGGAGGAGGAGGAGGAGGGGAGGGGGAGGAGGAGGAGGAGGAGGAGGGGGAGGAGGAGGAGGGGGAGGGGGAGGAGGAGGAGGAGGAGGAGGAGGAGGAGGAGGAGGAGGCTGCCAACAAATTGCGCGATGCCGAAGGGGCCTTCCAGGCACGGGGATATCGTCCCGCCCAGAGGCCTTGCTGGCACCGGCCATGATCGGCGGCGCGCGCCAGGGGGTAGGGGGACGGGGGAGAGCTTCGCAGAAGATGGCTGCTTCTTCTTAGACCTGGGTCTGGCGTCTCCTCCTTCAGGCGGATGTTGGACGAAGCATTAGAAATAGTCAAAACATAAGTTGTAAACTATTGTTCAATCTTCCCGTTGTAGAGGGACATGCCCGGCTGAATCTTAGACGGCGCCAGCTCTGCATCTGTAGGGCCCGCACCTTTGAAGAGGTGCTCTCCTTCTGAGAAGCCTTCCTCCCTCCCCCTACCCCCCTCTGTTAGGCGGCGCGCCCGGGGGGAAATGAGAAGGGGGGCCTTCTCGGAAGGCTCGCAGGTCCCCCAGCCTTCTGAGAAGTTCTTAAAGCATTCCCCAGAAACCCAGAACACTTCTCAAAGTGGCGAGGGCTTCTGAGAAGCCCGGCCGCCTTCTGAGAAGGCCTTCTCCTTCTTACCTCCTCCCCTCGCCCGCCGCCGAAAGGGGAGGCCAGCTTAGAGCTGGAATCTGCGATGCATCGCCAATAAATCGGCGGTGGGACCCCGATTGTGAGTCCGCAGTCCTGGGCGGGGCGGACTATATGGGCCCAAGGGTGGGCGATCAGGGGGTCCATGCATCACCCCCCCTGAGCCTATCCCCTCTGACGTCGACCTGACCCGAGGACCTCCTCCTCCTCCTCCTCCTCCTCCTCCTCCTCCTCCTCCTCCTCCCCTGGAGATCGTCCCCTGAAGGACTGGAACGCGGGCAAATCCCAACCTCGGCGGCGAGGACCTCGTGAGAGTACGCGTAGCGGCTGAGGCCGCTGAGGGCGTAGACGGCGCGACGGGGCACCAGCACGTCGACGAACTGGTCCTGAGGGGGAGCGATGCATCGCCGATGCAGCGGAGGTCAGTTCGCAAGAAACCTTCCACAAGAAGCCCAACCCTGAGATCCCAGGGCATCCATTGATGTTTGGTGCGCGAACGTCACGCTTTCCATGGCAAAACCATCGAAACCCAAGAAACCCAGGGCACCCTGGAGGCAAGCAGGGCGTTTCTTGGCAATGGGCCTCCACTGTAGATCAGTGAGAGGCCTCCGACGGCAGAGCCGCACGCGCCTGAGCGGGCTGGGCTGTGAGGCCCCTGCGTCGGCGATGAAAGGAGCGACTAGGTGTGTGTGTGTGTGTGTGTGTGTGCGTGTGTGCGTGTGTGCGTGTGTGCGTGTGCGCGTGTGTTGTGCGAGTGTGCGTGTGTGCGTGCGTGCGTGCGTGCGTGCGTGCGTGCGTGCGTGCGTGCGTGCGTGCGTGTGTGCGTGTGTGCGTGCGTGTGTTGTGGCGCTCACTTGGCTGTACGCGACACGTAACCTTGCCGGCTGACCTGGCCAGCATCTGCCCCAGCCGCCGCTGCCCCCCCCAGCCCCGCTGCTGCTGCTGTCCCCGCAGCGGTGACGGCCGCGCCACGCGCCCCTGGGAACGACCCGTTTTCCTGAGCGGCCCCGCCCCGCTTCCTCCTCCTCTCGGCCGTCGCTTCGTTGTCTTCTCCTCCCCTCTTGCATGGTGGCACAATTCGCTTAAGGGCAGCCCCGTTTCACTTCCTCACCAGCGCACTGCCTCTGCCTAGCCGCCGACGAACGAATTGTGTGTGTGTGTGGGTGTGTGTGTGCGTGTGTGCATTCCCCCCCTGAGTCTCATCCACCTAAACGTTGCACCTGAGCCCTGGAGCGAGGCGAGGGGGTCCTTCGGGCGCAGGCTGACATGGGCTACGGATCGGGAAGCCTTGATGCCATGACCATGGACACCCTAACAGCCCTGTCGTTGACCTAAGCATGTGTTTGAGAGGCCTGAAACAAGTTCCAAACATGTCAAAGGCAGGTGTCTTGCATGGTCAGGACCTGAAGGGCCCTGGAAACGACAGGGCTTTTTTTTACCGGTTCCGTTTT